GGCGACAATCGACACCGGCGCCACTCGATCGTTCATCAGTGGTGGCGAAGGTAGCGAAGGACGTGGAAATTAGGGAGGTACAAACGAGGATACGGCTGGCGGACGGCTCAAGATTAGACGTCGCGCGGATGCTGCACGCGGGAGTAAGTTTAGCGGGGCGTACGATAAGCATGCCGCTACTAATCATGACGCCGATGCTAGACCAAGTGATCCCTGGTATGGACTTTCTGCGAGCAATAGGTACGACGATTTGATGCGGGGACAGCGAGATGACGTTAGGGACGCCGGAGAGACGGGAAATTAGGAAAGTGGCGACTGGCTGCCCTGTGGAGACGATCCCGGAGGCAATGTTAGGGGTCCGGCAGGGGGGAGCGGTCCGTCCCGCGGAGAGAATCCCGGAGGCACGATCGAATGATCGAGGTATGTGCCAGTGTGCCAGTGAAGGGTGCCAGTGAAGGGTGCGGTCGGACGTTAAAGAGGTGTCCAGGGTGCCAGTGAAGGCACGGTCGGACAATAAGGGTATGTACAGGGTGCCAGCAGAGGTACGGTCGGACAGCGAGTTGTCTAGGGCGCCAGGAAAGGATCAGAAGCAGAACCGTAAGGAGGACTCGACAGGGGTTAGGGTAAAAGGACAGGCGACGACGGAGGTCAGCAGAGGCAGGGATTCAGGGCCTATGTGTGGATCAGCACCTAAGAGCGCGAAGCTGGGGAGGGTGGCCAACGGGCAGGAGGATCAAGCTCGCACCTAAGAAGGAGTCGTGCTAGCAGGTGAACTAGTCGCGGGAGAAATTCCGGCCGCGAGAACTAGTCACGAGGCTAGTAGTGGTAAAGGGTCTGGAGAGGAGAGTCCTAGTAGCGAGGACATCTGGCCAGCAGACAGGTGCTTCTGGAGGCAGAGTTGGCGCGATTCTAGGGGTTGAAAGACGTGTCCCACATAGCTAGCCATCGGATCGTAATGAAGGACAACGAGCCCATCAAGCAGAGGTACTACCCAAGGAACCCAGCGATGCAACAAGTCATCGACAAGCAAGTGGAGGAATTGCTCCGGACGGGAGCCATCGAGCCGTCCCGAAGCGCCGATCGTGCTGGTGAAAAAGAAGACAGGGAAATGGCGAATGTGCATCGACTATAGGCAGCTCGATGCACATTCGATCCCGGACGCATACCCAGTACCCCGGATAAACCACATCTTAACGCGCCTACGGCACGCGCGCTACATATCGATGCTGGATCTACAGCAAGGATACTGGCAGATCCCCATGGAGGAAGGGAGCAGGCAGTCTACCGCGTTCACAGTTCCAGGACGGGGACTATACCAGTGGAAGGTGATGCCCTTTGGTCTGCACTCGGCCTGCGCCACGTTCCAGAGCACTGGATTCGGGGATAGGGCACGTAGGCCTCGTAGCCAACCTGAGAGAAGTGTTCCGACGACTGAGGGAAGCGAACTTAAAGCTCAACATAGAGAAATACCATTTCTTCCGGAAGGATTTGGTATATTTAGGACACGTAGTGAGCAGCGAAGGAATACGGACGGACCCCTCAAAGGTGCTCGCAATCCAGAGGCTGACGGCCCCATCGAACTGCAAGGAGCTGCGCCAGTGCTTTGGGATGGCATCGTGGCATCGTCCCCAATTTCGCGTCGGTGGTGCTGCCGATGACCGCTCTCTTGAAGAAGGGAAAGGTATGGTCGTGGGGCGTGGAACAGCAGGAGGAGCGACTCACAACCGCGCCGATTTTCGCTTGCCTGGATTTCAGCAAGAAATTCGTGCTGCAAACGGATGCGAGCGATTACGGAAACTTCTGAAGGCAGAGACCAACTACTCAGCCACGGAGAAGGAATGTCTGGCTATAGTTTGGTCAATCCGCAAGTTGAGATGTTACTTGGAGGGGTACAGGTTCGACGTCATTACCGACCACATGGCATTTAAATGGCTCAACTCCATAGAGAGTCCATCTGGAAGGATAGCTCGATGGGCCTTAGAGTTGCAGCAGTTCCAGTTCGACGTGCAGTACCGACGGGGGAAGTTCAACGTGGTAGCCGACGCACTGTCCCGACAGCCACTGGAGGCATGTCGTCAAGCCGTAGAGGAGCAGCACCCATGTGGATGGACCACGTGTATGCTGGAGAGACTCGCCAAGGAGCCCGCAAAGTATCCGGACTATGCTATCGAGAACGGCCAACTCTATCGCCACCTGGGACACAGAGCCGACGACGAGGACTACGTGCCATGGAAACTGTGCGTCGCCAGTAACCAGAGGCAGAGAGTCCTGCAGGAGTGCCACAATGCCCCGACGGCAGGGCATCAAGGGGTGAGGAAGACGATATCCCGACTAGCACAGAGGTACACTGGCCAGGGATGTTTCGGGACGCCGCACGACATGTGAGGTTTGTCAGAAGTTCAAGGTGGAATAGGTGAGACCTGCAGGACGAATGCTAACGCGCCAGGTGACGGAATGGCCATATTATGCACAGATTTCGTGGGGCCGCTACCACGCTCGAAGCACGGTAACATAATGTTGCTGGTATTCCGCTATGCTTTTAGCAAGTGGGTGGAGCTGGTCCCTTTGAGGCGAGCGACGGCGGAACATTTACAGAGGGCGTTCCGGGAAGGGATACTTTGCCGATTCGGAATCCCCCGGAAATTCGTGTGCGACAGCGGAGTGCAGTTCACAAGCCGAACATTCAAGGCCTTCTTGACTTCGATCGGCGTAGAGGTGCAATACACGGCGCCATACTGCCCCCAGGAAAACCCTACCCTAGCGGACGAACCGGACGGTCAAGACGATGATCGCCCAGTTCATCGAATGACACCAGAGCTCGTGGGACGAGGTCTTACCCGAGTAAGCGTTGGCAGTGAGTACAAGTGTGGCGGACTCGACCGGATTTTCTCCCGCTTTCTTGGTACAGGGTCGCGAACCTCGTCTCCCCGCCACTTTATACGACGAGGTTACGCCTTGGCCCGCCACGGTTCAGCAAGCGCCAGGAGAAAAGGCCCATCGTCTGAGGGAGGTGTTCGATGTCGTCCGTCATAACTTGCAGCGTGCTTCCCAGGACCAGGGAAGACATTACAATCTGCGACGACGGGAATGGCGGCCAAAAGTGGACGAGCAGGTGTGGCTACGCCAACACCAGTTGTCAAAGGCTGCCGACGGATTCGCGGCAAAGCTAGCGCCGAAGTTCGACGGCCCCTTTCGGGTCGTTAGGTTCGTGTCGCCCAATATCGTGCGTTTGGCGCGCGACGGCGAACGGAAGGGGGAGGGGGGGGGGGGGGGAGAACGAAACGGTAGAGGAGTTAAGTAGACTCTTTATAACGCTTCATATTTCCACAGATGAAATGGAGCGTGACCAAGATTTCGACCTGGAGTGGGAGTGGCAGAGTGATAGGAGCGACGACCCGTGGCAACGGGCCCTGAACTATTAGTCGGGAGGCTCATCGTCGCCACCGTCCCCGAAAGCCATCGACGCGATGTGGCGTGACTCGACGCCCCCGCTTCCGCTAAGTCCAACTGACGAGGAGGGGTACGACTCGCCGCCGCCACTCATACCGAGGACACTGACAACGATACTGGAGCCACCGTCCCGCATGGAGGCCATCACAGTCGGTGGGCCGGATCCCTATCGACACTGTGAGTCGCTGGAGGACGCTTTCGAGGGGTTCGAGGGGTGGGAACCCGGCGAGGACGTCGCAGCAGCGGCGGAAAGCGACACGGAGGAGTGGCGACCGGTGATCTCAGAAGATATTTTCCCACCGGCCGGTTGGACGGTCCGCACCACGGACGGGAGGCTACTGCCTAAAGTACTACGAGCTAGACGGTTGGCTCCCGCGCATACGGCGACATCGCTTCTGCGTGCGCGACGGTAACTCCTCGTTTAGGGTGACCATCACCGACGCCCACAGGGTGATAACCACTATATCATATAGCTGCCATAGGAACGATCGGTCGAAAAGTAGGTTCTTGTATGAAAAATATTTTTGTTTATTTATTATTAGTTTTACTATGCTCCTCATATATATGCAAAATCCTATCAACATCGGAATACTATATCATATAACTGCCATATGAACGAGCGGTCGAAAATTAAGTTGTTGTATGGAAAATTTTTTTGGTTTTAAAGGTTAAGATACCATACCCAGCATTAACTACTTTTCCTGTGCTTCTTAGATAAGGGCAAACCACTAAGAACATTATGAAAAGATAAGGTCTGCAAGGGTATCTAATCTGCGGCGTTCCGAAGATAACCCGTCTTTCTCGATCTATTGGGGTTACCAGCTTGAGTAGCACTCTTCGTAGATTATCGATTTCATTAGTAAATTGCGTAGCTGTTTTGTCCTTCTGATACACATTTGCCATTTTTGCCTTTTCGGATGTTTCACAGACTACTGTGTCTTGGAATTTCTTTATAATAGCATTGATGGTAGTCTCATTCTGGACTTTGCAGAGGGTTGAGCCAAATATCTTGCACTTTATTACCTCTATTGTTATTGTTTCATTTGATCCTTTTGCCATATCAACCAATTTTATTATCGTGATGAATCTTTGTAGATACATTTTTTTCCATTAAATTCTGGCACTGCAACGAAATTTCTTTTATAAACGCCCTTTGGGCGGCTGCTTTCATCGGCCTTGATACAAGGCTTTTGCTCGGCTACACTAGAGCTTGTATCAGAATCCGAAAAATCTTGATCTGATAGTGCGAATTGTTTTAAAACATCAGGAATCGTTAGATTATTTAAATCTTCTTTTTTTTTTCTGAATTAGAAGATTCAAACTCTTCTGGATTTACTAAGTCAAACTCTGCTGATTCTTTCGATTCTGGTTCTTCACCAGTTTCAGATGTCAATGGGGTGTTTAAGATTGTTGCTATCGATATATCCAAATTATACTTCTATTTTATGTATATCAAGTTTGATTGTAATTTGATCAAACATTCTGATACCTGGGACCAATGTGTCTTATCTAGTCTGTCTCTTTGGTCATATATTAGTACACCTGTGTTCACACAAGAAGTGTATCCGACAGTCGCCATCCAACCGCCATGTAACTCCGGAACCAGTACATGGAACATGTACTGAAATTTCACCACACTTATACTAATACACTTGTATGTACTCTTGTAATGTACTCTGAAAAAATAGAACAGATGAAAATAACCTTCAAGCGAACAAAACGTGTTTTTCTTTCAAACCTGAGTTAAATTTGTGCAGAGCAGAAACGCTCCCCCAACGACAATTCATTTTGTAAAAGTTCACCTGGAAGCCCTGCGGACGCCCTACTACAACATTTGGTCCTTCGAGCCGGATACTTCTACAACATTTGGTATATCCAGTTCGCCCCAGCAAGCATTGGTGGATCTGCAAGAAAAGGTTCCAGGAACAGCTATAAATTCAAACAAGATAAGTAGCAGTGCACCTACCTCAACTTGTCCATTGCCAAATTTCCGGCAACTCCAGTTAATTAATTCTTTTGTGTGTCTGAACATATTTTTTCGCTTCACATTGTCCGTGGTTAAAGCGAGGGGCAATTGTATTTAAAAAATTCAACAAAAAAACCCGCAGATAAAATATTGTTCGTGGCCATTAAGGCATCTAAAAAGTGATAAATATTGAAAGAAATAAAACAGAAAGTGACTCCGATAAGGTCGCCATATTGGTGTCTGTACATATGTATATACATATATGTACAAGTGCATACCCAAAAATTTAACCGATCGCCATATTGATGTACGCAAGTACATCAAGACATATCTGCACACATAGGCTTTCGCTCCGTTGAACAACAAGTGTATGCGCTTCTCCATTCCAACCTTCACCAAAGAATCACACACTAAATACATATATAAAAACACACAATTCTAATTGGTATTTAATTAATTAAAACCACACTGTGCAAATTCACCTGCATGTATACACACACACGCACATCCTATTATATGTGTATCGTTTGTTATTTTTTCCTCCACAGCAGCTTCAATATTAATTTATATATTTATTTTTACCAATTAATTGGCAAGTGCAAAACGTAAACAAACAACAGGGTTGTAAAGTGTCAAGATCGGTTTTCGATAAACTGATTCTGTGAAACTTTTATATTTTGTATGTTTCCACCTTGCCATTGAGCTGCGTTTACTTAATAAAATACAAACATATACATTACTTTTTCTTATTCTTATAAAAAATTTATAAAACATAATTATAAGTTAAGACGTTTCCAAGTTGCGTAATAAATCGAATATCCGTGCGATTTTTCTTAAAATAACAATTTATATAAATAATTCTATGACAAAAAACCTTTTCATTGAGCTGCGTTTAGAATAAACGTGCTTCTTCTTGAGCTCAACCATCAATAAGCAATAAGCGATAAGCATCATTTTTTTGCGCGATCCGTTTCCACTACACGGCCGCTTTGTCAAAAGAGAATAAATCCTTTTCTCTGGTGTTTCAATAAAGAAATAATTAGATTTTTTCTCAATTAAAGGAAACTAAATAAGAATCAATTTAGTAAATTATTAGTAAAATAATTAATTTAACAAAATTTTCCGATTTCGTTGGACTCAATAGTGCACACCATTTCGGTCATTCCATTTTATTCTGATATCTCGATTCCATCGTTCCTGTGCCATTTCTTATTCCGTTTTCTCTCTGCTGATTCAAATTATTTGTATTTGATCACATTTCACCTGGTTAGTACAATTTTTGGCTCTGTGAAGAGCCTAGTATGCCAATCGGTGGTGATCAAAACAGCCAAAAACGACTCACAGCACCGTCCGTCAAGGAGTCAAAGCGACCTTTAACCTCACCTAGAGCAGTTTTCGGGAAACTCAAGGTCGAGAGTACCAGCACAACCGTCCGCAAGACTGTGAGTCCGATTCCAACAAGAGATATTACCCCAAAAATTACCCGTTCGACTACGCAAAAAATGCAGAAGTCAAGCGAAATGGCACTGAACGACTTCGTTTCTATAACTGACCGACTAGGCCAGTTTGAAGTGAAGATCAATGACGCAGCGGACAGTGACGTGTCACTGTTCACTCTCCAAGTCCGACGAGATCAGATTAAGACTTTATGGGAAAAGGTAGAACGCGAGTACGAGTTATGTTCCAAAGCTCTCAACCAAGGCGCTTGCAGCAGCAGTGACCTGGTGGCTATGCAAGCTAAATATGATTACTCGTACTCCGTTTACGAGCGATGTGCGGCTCAACTAAGCGAAAAAATAGAAAGAGCCACGGCGTTAAATAGACAAGCTGAGCAACCCCCCTCCAACTTCTCCATGTCCAGGGGTTGCAGTCTCCCCGCCATGCGACACTGAAGTTTTCAGTGGGGATTACCTACGCTGGCCTACTTTCCGAGACTTGTTTACAGCTGTTTATATTAACAATCCAAGATTGACGCCGGTGGAAAAATTGTTCCATCTTAATTCCAAAACCAGCGGCGAAGCTAGAGCAATTGTCTCCAAGTCCCCGCTCACGAATGACGGCTTTCAGTCAGCGTGGGCGAGCCTGACGGAGAGATTTGAGAATAAGCGACTATTAGTCAATAGTCAATTGAAAATTCTTTTCAATCTCCCCTCAGCAACACAAGAGTCTGGAGCCGCCCTTAAAGAGCTTCAGGGCACAATCCAGGGATGTTTAACGGCTCTCGACTTGTCCAGGGTGAGCACCGAAAATTGGGATTGTCTGCTAATTTTCTTGTGCTCCTCTAAATTGCCTAAGCTCACGCTGTCGTTATGGGAACAATCGCTCCACGATAAGGCAGAGATCCCTCAATGGTCCGAGATGAATTTATTTCTGATCGACCGATATCGCACCTTGGAGGCGATAGAGGATGTACGACCTACCGCACATACGCCACTCCAGTCCAAACCCACAAGAAAAGAGTCCAACCACCTGAGAACCTTCGAAGCAACAGTGACTGCAAAGCCACAGCACTGCAAATTGTGTCAGAAGGAAAACCATCCCGTGCGTCTATGCCCACGTTTTCTACAAATGTCCGTACCCGAGAGAGTTTCCGTCATTAAGCAACAAAAGCTGTGCTTAAACTGCTTCGCCAGACAGCACCAGTTGAAAGACTGCACCAGCGCACATAGTTGTTTCACGTGCAAGGGACGTCACAACACGCTACTCCACCGTGACAGACCCCAGGTGCCCTCAGCTTCCACAACACCAATAGTTTTGAACCCTCCTTCACCAATACAGTCCACTTCTACTTCAACCCAAGCTACCGTTCAAAACTATTTTTCCGCAAACTCACATGGTGTTCTCCTCGGCACGGCTGTCATCCAAGTGTGTCATTTGGGCACAAAGTATACAGCCCGGGCATTAATCGACTCTGGGTCTGAAGCGACCTTTATTTCAGAGCGATTGTTCAAAAGGGTTAAACTTCCTTATCAACCCGTCGACGCACAGGTCTCCGGTTTGAATCAAGCCATTTCGGCTCAACCTCAAAAACTTTGCCATTTTAATATTGGCTCTCCTATAAAGCCCAGGGTTCATATTGAAACCTCGGCTTATGTTCTTCCAAAGCTGGCAGGCAATTTGCCCTCCTACACCATCCCCCAAACTGCTTTGGAAGAACTTCCAAAATTACACTTGGCCGATCCCTCTTTCTATAGGAGCTCACAGATAGACGTGCTTCTCGGCGCCGATATCCTCCCATCCATATTGTTAGGTGGCTCCTATCCCAACATATGTGGCACTCTCCTTGGTCAAGAAACGATTTTCGGCTGGATCCTTACAGGCCCCGTTTCTAAGACCAGTGCCAAATCTGTCGCATCCTTTTCGACTCAAGTCTCGCTGAATCCAAATGCGAGCTTGGATAAACTGCTCACAAAATTTTGGGAGGTGGAGGATATTCCAGTTAAGCTGGAAAAGGAATCCGACCTTTTTTGTGAGCGCAATTTTCAAAAAACCACTAAAAGGGATAAAAACGGCAGATACTTGGTCACACTGCCATTCAAGAATTCCGATCACATCCAGTTAGGCCATTCAAGGTCCATCGCACTAGCTCAATTTCTACGAAATGAGAATCGTCTGGCAAAAAATGCCCCCCTTAAGGAGCAGTACGATGCGGTGATCCAGGAATATCTGGACTTAGGTCACATGCGACAAGTCCCTCCAAGCAATGGTTCAGATAACTTTTATCTACCACACCATGCTGTTCACAAGCCTGACAGCACCACGACCAAGCTCCGCGTAGTATTTAACGCCTCCCACCCGTCATCGAATGGTAAAAGTCTGAACGATGTGCTACATGCAGGGCCCGTTCTGCAATCCGACTTAACCATTCAAATTCTAAGATGGCGCTTCTTCCGATATGTGTTCAATGCCGATATCACAAAAATGTATCGGCAAATACTTGTGCATCCCAACCACACGCCCTATCAGAGAATTCTGTTCCGAACAAAGGACAACGAGCTTCGTGACTTCGAACTCAGCACAGTCACGTTTGGAGTTAACTGTGCCCCCTTTTTGGCAATCCGGGTACTACATCAGTTATCTGATGACGTTCGTTCGCTCTATCCCTTAGCAAGTCACATTATCGCAAACAATATGTATGTCGACGATGTACTAGCGGGAGCCCATTCCAAATCAACAGCAGATCAAGCAATTGCAGAACTCCGCAAGGCCCTTGAATCTGCCGGGTTCCCCTTGCGAAAATGGACATCCAATGAAAAGGACTTGCTAAGAGCGATTCCCAAGGACCACTTGCTTCACGCCGACTTTTTAGAGATCGAGGAAGCCTGTTCGGCAAAGACTCTCGGGATCAGATGGAAAGCTGACACCGATGAGTTCTTTTTCGCTCCATCCGAGCTAACAGCCAAACAGTCCGTCTCCAAACGTGAAGTCCTTTCACAGATTGCCAAACTGTTCGACCCAGCAGGTTGGCTGGGTCCAGTCATTATCCAGGCAAAAATATTCATGCAGGAGATCTGGCTCCAAGAACTGGGCTGGGACGATCCGCTACCTGAGAGTCTTCTCATTAAGTGGAATTTATTTCTGCAAGAGTATCCGGGCCTCAGTGCGATTCGCATCCCTAGATGGGTCGAATTCCGCCCACAGGGGACTATCCAATACCATGGGTTTTGTGACGCTTCGCAGCGTGCATATGGGGCCGCCATTTACGTGCGCACTGAGATACAAGATCGCATCTCAGTACATCTCCTAACAGCGAAAACGAGGGTCGCTCCGGTCAAGACGATATCCTTGCCACGACTAGAGCTGTGCGGAGCAGCACTTCTGTCCGAGTTATCCGCTGCACTCAGTCCCCAGCTACCTTCCGCTGGCGGCGACTGGTTCTATTGGACAGATTCCACAATTGTGCTAGCTTGGCTTCATAAGCCACCATGCGCCTGGACTACCTTTGTAGCAAACAGAGTCGCAAAAATTACTCAGGCCACCGACTCCAATAAATGGTCCCATGTACGATCCGAGTACAATCCAGCGGACCTAGCGAGCAGAGGTGCCCCACCACAAGCGTTAGTCAACAATGAGCTGTGGTGGCACGGGCCAGAATGGTTACGCCTACCTCAGAACCAATGGCCCATTCCTTCAGATCCCCTCCCAGATACGACAATAGAGCAACGTACGATTAAGGTAAACCTCGTAAACACGGCTCCCTCATTTTCTTTCCTCGAGCGCTTCTCCAAGTTCGATCGAGCCCTGCGAGTGTTAGCCTACATCTATCGCTTCTTCAAGCGTTGCAAACGATTGTCGCTCCCGTCAACTATTGAAATTGACAGCAACGAGATTTCTTATGCACAAGAAAAACTCATTCTCCTGACCCAGAGACAAGCATACTCGTCAGAGTACACTTGCTTGAGCACGAAAAAACAGCTCACTTCCAGCAAAATCCTTAATTTGAACCCCTTTTTAGATGGTAAGGGAATTATTCGAGCATGTGGTCGTGTAAGAGCGGCCGAAGCACTCGGCTACGATGAGCGGCATCCAATCATACTGCCATACACATGTGCATATTCGCGTCTCTTGACCGCTTTCACCCATCTTATATCCTTGCATGGAGGCAACCAGCTCATGATGCGTTTAATACGATCACAGTACTGGATTCCAAAGCTGAAGGTGTTGGTCAAATCCACAATTCATTCCTGCAAAATCTGCGTCATCCGAAAAAAGAAATTGCAAACGCAGCTCATGGGCGACTTGCCTGTGGAGAGAGTCACATTCTCTCGACCGTTCACTCACACAGGAGTCGATTTTGCAGGCCCCTTCGATGTAAAAAATTACACAGGTCGAGCCTGTCTTATTACGAAAGGCTACGTGTGCGTCTTTGTGTGCTTCAGCACCAAAGCCATCCACCTAGAAGCTACATCTGACCTGACCACAGAAAAATTCCTAGCGGCATTTGCGAGATTTGTGGCACGACGAGGGTGCCCAAGTCAAATGCATTCCGACAACGGCAAAACCTTCGTCGGAGCGGCCAAAGTCCTCTCGCGCGATTTTGTAGAAGCGCTTAAGACTCAACTCCAGGCCACTTACAGTCTCCAGAAACTGTCCTGGCACTTCAACCCTCCTAGTGCACCGCATATGGGTGGCCTGTGGGAGGCAGGTGTAAAGAGTTTCAAAAATCTATTTTATAAGTCTACATCGACCTCCAAATACACCTTCGAAGAGCTTTCCACGCTCCTATCCAAAGTTGAAGCATGCCTGAATTCAAGACCGATATCTCCAATGTCGGAAGATCCTACTGATCTCCTAGCTCTGACTCCCGGTCATTTTCTAGTCGGGGGTCCTCTACTTTCCGCCACAGAGCCAGAGATCAAGGAAAACGCCGCGTCCATCATCAACCGCTGGCAGCGCTTGAAGGCTTTGCAACAACAGTTCTGTCTCCGTTGGAAACATGAGTATCTTTTAGAGTTACACAAAAGAAACAAATGGCAAACTCCAACGCGAGACTTACAACGGGACGATCTAGTCATTATTAAAGAAGATAATCTTCCAGTTAATGACTGGCGTCTAGGTCGAATCCAAACGACCTATCCTGGCGACGACCAAAGAGTCCGAGTGGTCGACGTCTTAACAGCCCGAGGTGTCTCCAAGAGACCTATCTCTAAGCTGATCCTGCTCCCGATAGAATCTAGTCTCCATTTTCCATCCAGTAAAATTTCCAGTAAAGACTAGAATCCTAGATCCATAGGTCTGCGGACCATCCGTATAAAGCCGCATCAGTAATGTCTACTATGTTTTTTTTCACATTCTTCACGTAACAGCACGATGTCTCCACGCCAACAACAAGGCCGATCCAAGAGCCGACCGGCAACGGAATCGTTCCGATGCCGAGTATGCCGAGGAGTCCACGCGCTGCGCAAGTGCCAGCGGTTCATGCGGCTGTCTCCAGAGAAGAGACTCCGAGCAGTTCTAGTCAATAAATACTGCCCAAACTGCCTGGCTCACCAACATTCCGGGGAGTCATGTCGCCGCAAGGACAAGTGCCGCAAGTGCCAGGGCGACCATCACACCTTGCTTCATTTGCAAGAAGCGCGTCGCATGCCATCTCCAGAGCGATCCCAAACAAGGCGCAGCACCAAGGCCCAAGCGCGACGCTCCGCGCCGCCTTCATCCGCTGGTTCCATCTCCTTATCATCATTAATGGAACACAAAAGGACAACCGTGCTCCCGAGAGCACTCATCCGACTCGGAAACGGCAAGGCGACCCGCGACACTCGGGCACTTTTAGACCCGTGCTGTCCGGTAAGTCTTATCGACGCATCCTTGGCAAAGGCCTCCGGGCTATCCGTCACCCGCGTCGGTAAAGACAACGCTTGCTCGGCTATAATAAGCTCTAGGACCTCTAGCTTCCAGCGAGAGGTCATCCTGCAAGTGATGCCAAATCTCCGGTATCAAACTCCAACGAAGCCCGTCAGCGAGAAACTGAACGAGCCCTTCACCAACATTCGATTGGCAGACGATCGCTGGTTCCAGCCGGAAATCTCCAATCTGGTTTTGGGCTCGGATATATATCCGGATTTAATTCTCCAAGGCGTCCTGCCGAGTCTTGGCGGCGCACCACTGGCCCAAAACACGGTCTTCGGGTGGATATTGTCCGGCTCCTGTGCTCAATAGTAGGAACAGAGCCACGTCCCTCTCCCTTTTTCTTTTTGCAATACTGCAAGGCGGGCGGCATGTTCACACAAGAAGTGTATCCGACAGTCGCCATCCAACCGCCATGTAACTCCGGAACCAGTACATGGAACATGTACTGAAATTTCACCACACTTATACTAATACACTTGTATGTACTCTTGTAATGTACTCTGAAAAAATAGAACAGATGAAAATAACCTTCAAGCGAACAAAACGTGTTTTTCTTTCAAACCTGAGTTAAATTTGTGCAGAGCAGAAACGCTCCCCCAACGACAATTCATTTTGTAAAAGTTCACCTGGAAGCCCTGCGGACGCCCTACTACATCAACCTGCTTGGTTGAAGCATTCCACTAATATTTCGGCATGTTTGTTTACTGTACGCCCTTGAATTGGCCTATTTCGTGATAATGACTTATAAGATCTATCAAATTTATTTTTAATTCATTTATTTTTTACATATTTACCTCCTTTCCATTATACTATGGATATTTATTTACTTTCTAAATGCTACCATTACGAGGGTTCTGCCTAGTATTGGGTGTTCATTTATTACTGATTTTACCTGCACACCGGGAATGGTGGTCAACACAATTGCCTTTTGTGTTTTCGTGCAATGTATTAACGGTGAAAAATCTAAATTAAAGGTATCCATATATAAATGTTATAATTCATATATGCTTATTGGGGTCGTTGAGACCAATTGTTGACTTTTTTCTTTAAAATAAGCATCTCTAACATAAATGTCTGCTATTAATTCTGTGGTGTTCATTGCAAACATTCATAAATATTGATGCATATAAATAAATTTTTATTTTCTTTAATTATATTCTCTAACCATTTCTCGTATTTTTCTTCTTTTTATCTTCTTATATTTTATTTAGATCATTTGCCCTGTTTACATATTTCTTTTTAAGGCATTTATTATTATTATTTCTATTAAACCCAGTTTGGTTATGTTTTTTATGTTTATAGAGGATTTTATGCCAAATGTAAATGGCTTATTTTGAGGTACAATATCTATTTTACTTATTTTGTTATCCTCATACATAAGATAATTACTGTTTTTACAGAATCCTACCTATCGTTTCGCATAGCTTTACGGGCTATGCTTCTAATCGGGCGGAAATGATTCCGCTCAGTTTTACAAATTGTGTACATCTATATTATAATCTATTATTGCGTTGCTGCGTCGCTTGTCCGCTGCATCAGCTGGGCGTCGCCGGATGTGGAACGCTGATGCTCCCTCGATAACACAAGTGGCGGTGTGCCCCTCAAGCCTGTTCAATAGCTGCTGCTGATGTCCTGGGCCTACGGGCTCAGGCGGGGGCGGTGCCGGTCATCGCACCGGTACTTACTTGTTGGTGGTGCTGGCTGTGCAGTGGCTGCACATGTATTCGAAGAAGGGGCTATCTAGCGGGCCACAATTTAATGCAATTGTCATTTTGAGAATACACAAATATTTTATAGTATAATAAGATCTACTAATGAAAATTTCATCAAGATCGGTTAAGAAACACGTAAGAAAATGTGCTTTGGCCTGCAGACACGTGCAGCAGTAAGCGCAAATTCCAAGAAATTCTGTATACATGTACACACCCACATTCATAAGCGTCTGCTTTGAATTCTATCAACATCATTGCAATTGAGATTGTATTGTTTTCTGTGCTGCTATTTTAATTCGTTTTTCTGTCTCTAATACTTAATTATTGGTGTGGCTATTAAGTTAAGGCAGCGGAAAGTAGCGCGTTCAGTTACGAATTCGAACCGTGCTGAGGAAACTATTTTTTTTTTGGCTGGTGTGGCTGTTGCGTAGAGGCGACAGCAAGTAATGCGGTCCGTTGCGAGTTCAAACCCTGCCAAGGGAACTTTTTTTTTTTTAATTTATCTTTATTACTACTAAAGTAAACGAGCGCGTAGCGCTAGCTGCTTTTGGTGTTGGAATAAGAGGGTTCAGTGTATCCCCTAGTCGGGAGCTCCTGACTAGAACCTCTTTGCTTGTTTTTACTTTGTTTTGTAAGCCACCGCGTTTATTCACCATAACACACACTATCTACTCACTCATTATGCGGGACTTTCAATGTTCAAGTCCCGACGGCGGATGTTATAGCTGGCCTCTTTGTTGGCCTTTTCGGAATGTGTCGTCTGCCTCCAGATATTTATTTTCCTTTCCACTTTGTATACTGCCTCCAGGCAGAAATTTTTTCACTTTGTGGATTAGCTAGCGACACGACTGGTCGCATGTTATGTTCTTTATTCAATTGATTCATATATCTTTTCTTAATGTTAACTTAGCTAAAGCCGCGTATCTGCGCTGCAGACCCAACCTATTCATAATGATCATATTGATTTGCCCGTATATAAGAAACATAGAGAAAATAGTTAATGCCGAGTTTGGTTAAGATATCTTGAAAAACAAAGTTTTTATTACAAGGACCTTATTTTCTCCGATCGTTCCTCTGGCCGCTATATGATATAGTGATCCGATGAAAAAAAGAATTTGCATAAATGAAGGGAATATAAAGAAACTTATAAATGCCTAGTTTGCTTAAGATATCTTGAAAAAAATGATGTGTCCTGCGATGTGTGCTGGTCCAGCGATGTGACAGTTGCTTCGTCACTCGGTCCAGCAGTGGTTGCGTAACTTCCGTTAAACGGATACGTCTTCTTATGATGATTATGTTGGAGAGCTTGACTTCGCTCTTTTTGCTGATTACTGGCCTTGTGACTCAGTAATGTAATTGTAATACACAACAAATTTTTTTTCGGTAGCGTGCCGGACTAATGCAAGTTTATTCTTAAACGTCAAATACTGAACTGAAGATTGCAGTATAAAATTGAATTGAAGTTAAACCTAAAGCTAGACCCGTAAGCTACAAACCTAAAAAGCTACAGCCGGCAAGCCGACTCAGCATAAACGATAACGCAGACGATTGCAGCATAGTCAAGTATCACGTTACCGCTGCTGACCATTGCGGTCAGACCGCTGAACTCATGTGTCAGCGGAATATGTTTGGAGCAAATGGGTACAGATAAGTGTTGTGCAAGTTCCTTATTCAAAGTTATTCATGTGCAATTCTTATGTGTTACTCGGTTACTCCTCGGTTACTTTATAGCTGTTGATGACCCGTTGTACTTTCCGCGAAGCTTGTCTTCTCTTTACGATTTGCCATGTGGTGGCAAGGCCGCTTAGGATGACACTAAGAGCAACGCCGCTATGGAGTTGAGGTATGCTCAACACTGGGTCATGACATATGATGTTAAGTAGCGGTGACCCCGCTATGCCTGGCGCCTTATTTAATATCTCACGCTGGTTCACATATTTTGTGCTATTGATGATTGCGGAGAAACGGAAGGTGACGAGGTGTGTTCCGTTTGTAGTGATCTCTGGACCATCGTCTGTACTGACCCTTGCTGTGCTCTCGTTGATAATTTTGATCCCATCATCTACTTGCGCAATAGGCTTCAGGTGGCTTGGCTGCGTGCGGCAGGAGGCCGCACCACTAGCGTGTAGGGCTCGTGCACAGGTGTCTTGTGCTGTTAACTTACAAGCGGATGCGAATGTTGTTATTACGCACTCGCTAACCGCTAGTACGTCATCGTTCTAGCTGTAGTGTGACATGTTGACATTTAGCTGTAGTGTGACATGTTGATGTGATACCGGGAAATTGGTGATTCTGGTACAGATGAACTTAATTCTAGGGTAGGCTATGAGTATATGAATTATATATTCGGACTGTAGGACTTTGATTTTCGATGCTTCAGTTAGGCTAACTATAGGGATTTATGATCAAAAATAATGGGATTTATTATATCAGATTTAACTAAGGTAATTGTGAGTATTAAGTTTGAAATTTGGTTTATTAACATTCTATTTCTCGCTAATAATGTTTCGTATAAATGCGGTGTGTCAACTAACTCATTCTATTTTGCTTTAATTATTTCATTTATTGTGTCTGTGAGTTTATTAATCTGCTTTTGTGTTTCTGAGTTAATCACTATTTGCCAATTATTTGCATCAATTAACCTTGACTTGGACC